AAATATGTGTTTATTAAATAAAGTTTAATGTTACAACTAATCGGGGATCCCTTTAAGAACCATCAATAAAAAAAATACGAGTGAGTTTTGTTTTGTTTGCGGTTAACGGACGCTACAACAACTTGTCACGGACATCCCACGAGTCCAACGACGAGTGGAAAGCGTAAATAGTAAATAATTTGTGAGTCAGCAATGATTTTTGCTCGTAAAGCCGACAGAGGTGTGATTTTCCACCTCAGCTGTGCAGCGACTCCACAGAGCAGATTACCAACAGCAACGAAAACAAAGCCCARAAGAACTGAAGACTTCACCAACACAACAAGCAGCTGCAGTTATTAGATGACATCATTTATTGGGGTTTAACAGCATCACTGGCTGCTGTGTGTGCGAGCGACAGAATGCTGAAATTACCTCGCAGTTAAAGCGCTGCACTACTTAGTCAGCTAATTGAAACTTTTTACGCACTTGGATGCGTTCATGCGTACAAGCGCGCTCTTGGAAGCGCGCTGCGTCTAATCGTCCCTCGACCACATGGCCCCCTCTGAAAACCAACACAGACCTGGACCCGTTTAGGCCCGGCYGCCGCAAAAGTTCCGATGTGAAAGCGAGGCCAAGCGAGGCGGAGATAACGGAAGCGACTCAGGCGTCGCTTCAAACGCAGCCGTCTCTTTTTTCAGCCCGTCTTTGATAAAACCAAACGGCTAAAAGAGCCGCATTAAAACAGACGATCCGAGGAAACTGCTGGAACAGTTTCATGTGCAACACATGGAGCCTATCTGTGCAACTCTCCCTTTCTTACAGTAAACACCCATCTGTGTACAATTAAGACGTGCACACACACGCACACACACACACACTTAAAAACTTGTTTCAGCTGAAGCCTAATTGCTCCTCAGACTTCTCGTCACTGATCCTCGCTCACACAATCTGCTGAACTTGTTTGAGCAACACTGTTGTCCGTTTTCCTTTCAAACTTTCTTCTCTTTGCATAAATAAATGAACCGTTCAGATCATTTTTGCTTCCGTGTATTATCCAGCACGCGTCCCGTTCAGCAACATTTGTGCTAATTCAGCAGAATAAGAAAACGTTCGGCTCCTTCGGGACTTTTGGTTTTTCAGCAATTTWTAYGTTTTAGGAGTTTYATCTTGTTCGGATATTTTTTTCTCAATGAAAACGAATGGAGCCGTTCTCAACATCATTAAAMCCTTAAAATGTTCAKAAACCTTTACTGAACTTTTTTTATTCTAGTTTTGTGGTTTTAACTTTTCTGTGCTAATTTCAGCTTTTAATTTAGTTGATTTTAGCTTTTTTCTGCTTTCTTAAACTATCATTCTGACCTTTTCTGCTATTCTTCTGCTACTCAATTTATTTTTGCTTCTGTCAGCTGCTTTCCTCTATTTTCAGCTGTTTTATTTTTAGCTGTTTTTTTTGCGAATGAGTTTTTCATGAAAGTTTAAATTTCTGTGATAATTTCAGCTTCTTACTGCTTAATTCAGTTTGATAATTTCAGCTACTTTTTAAGCTACTTTTTGGTTAGTTTCAGACTTTGGCTATTTCAAAACTGATGACAAGTTGTTTTTTTTAACTTTTCTTATATTTTTCTAATTTGAAAACTTTCACTCTCATTTCCTCATCTGTTAATTTTAAACTTGTTTCATCAACTTTTAGCTTCTTTTTGTTCATTTTGGCTAATTTACCCATTTCCTACTGATTTTTCACTTTTGTTTTCCTACTTTCAGCAAAAGTGAGCTGTTCAAATTTAACTYACGGAAGCAATTTTGGTATAAAAACATTTCAGCTACTTCAGTAATTTTCCGCATTAAGCATTCACACTGCGTTTTCACAGGAAATKATATTTCTCTAGTTTTRATTTTCATCTTTTCTCTTTTGGAGAATGTATGAAAAAGCTGCAGAAACTACTGTAAAAATTTAAGCTCTAACTTGCTGAGCAAACTGCTCAGAYGGTTCCTCCAACATCTCTACTGTGRACTAATACTTTGTAAAATGGGGCATTTTTATATCCCACCGTAATGTGGTAGTAGCTGAGAGTCCTCCTCAACACACACCTAACAGCTCATGAGACCTAATCATAGATTTTGATCAAAGCAGCTATAGCCCTGTCATTTCTCAACATGAAATAATTCTAGTTTTTATTTCGGCCAAAGATGGCGAGCGATGTGCTTTTCTTCAAACAACGCTGGGCTTTTGTTTTTATTTTGCAGTTTTAAGTGAACATTTTTAATCTTTGCCATACCAAAACTTTTGATTTACAGCGAAACAGATTGAGCAGGAATTGGTTTCCTGAAAATGATTACCACATGTGTCGGTACCGAGAGTCACGGCTCAGCACAACAGTAAAGACCACTACGTGTGTACTTCTGTGTGTGTGCGAGTAAATAATTACTACTACACRCTTCAACTCTGTCACGAAACTGATATTAGATGAGAGGAGAGCTGTTTCTGGCTGCCAGGAAATGTATACATCCTTAAACAAACACTGCGTTTGCCCCATTAGGGCTTTATTGTCGAACAATCCTGGCACGGTAAGTTCAAATCCAACAACACACACAGTTTGTCTTATTGTACGGCTCAGAAACGAGCTGACGCTAATCCAGATCCTGCCCCAAGATAATACCTTAATGGAATAATAAATGCCTCCACAGTTACTTAATGACCTGGCTTTATAGGCAGCGGTAAGCAGATAATGGCACAACATGCCCCGTCAACACATAAACTATGTGTGACCTTTTACTTTATTAAAGCTGCAAATGTTTAAAAAAGAAAGGTCTTAAAGTTTCTATAAGTTATCTTAACCCAAACTCTAATAATATAAAAAGAACTTAGAGAAACCAGTTTGTTTCTGGATCCGGACTGGACTCTTTTGTAGATGGTAATCATCAAAAATGATTCAGGAGAACTATATTAAAAAAATAATAAAATAAAATTAGTGCTGCACGATATATCGGCATTAATATCGGTATCGGCTGATATTGGTCATTTTTTAGAATATCGGTATCGGTCCGATGTGTAAAACTGGGCCGATATTAACGTCCAATATTGATTTCCCACTTTTCAGTGTGCATTGCCAATGCAATGCACACTATTGTGATTCATTTCTCATCCAAGTCATCTCAACTTTGCCATGCTTCTCCTCCTGCATACTTTGTCCTAGAGCTGCCATTGTAATTTATATCTGTAAAGCCCCTGTGCCAAATGATGGCTATGCCTTTTGGTGCCTGTAAAACTTATAGTTTATGAAATATTAATGTTTAATGAATTATAATGACAGTCAATGGAGCCTTGTATTGGTCCAATACTATCCTCAGCTGTACTCAACTTGGTACTGCACCATAGTTTAATATTTCAACTCAGTAGTTCAGTGTTTACAATACTAATATGATTGTATTTTGATGTTTTACTATAATATTATAATAAACAGTTTGACTAAAGAATAATATGTTATAATCCCTATTTTGYTACTCTAACAACTTTTAAATTAATACAAATTAGAGATTGATCGATACGGGGTTTTTAAGGGCGATACAGATTATTTGATCTGTCTAACTCGGTGGTTCCCAAAATTTTTAGCTTTTGATCCACAAAATACCAGCAGCAGAGACCTGTGCCCCCAGCTGTTGTTGGCTGATAAACATTGTTTTATTTGTCAAATAAACAAGAGCAGAGTAACAATATTTATTATGCTATTTTTGTCCATTTTATGAACACTAACCTTACTTTTTTGTAACAACAAAGGCAAATAATTAGTTATTTTTTAGTGTAATTAATAAAGAAAATATTTTCAGGACCCCACCCTGATGTTTCGGGACCCACAGTGGGGTCCCAACCGCAACTTTAGGAACCACTGGTTTAACTGATCCTCGATATGTGCTGCCCATTATTTGGGCCGATTCTTGGAGACTGTTGTTATTTTCTTCCTCCATTTACATGATAACAAATGTTACACAAGCTCAGTTTAACTCCTTAACAGTCGCCCATGAAATTCATTAAAAGCTTTTTAAATATTTGAATTTTTATTTTTATTTTGAAAGGGTGTCAAATTAAAGGTAAGAACCGGAGGAAGTCGTCTGACACCCTGTTTTGTTTTGTTTTTTAAAAAGCCCCCAATAACGTCTGGAAATGTTTAAAGACAGAAATGGTACAGTTTTTGCTCACCAGTGGAATAAAGACTGTTAAGGAGAAACATAACAATAACAATAATAATAATAATAACAATTATTATTATTATTATTATTATTATTATTATGCATTAGTCTTTTACAGTGCTTTTCAAGACCCTCAAAGATGCTCTACAATTTTCACAATTTATAAGCAAAACAAAACATAACAATAGATAGAAAAATCTGTRTAACGTTTAAACATTTACCAATAAAACCAAACTAATCAGTGTGCATTGCCAATGCAATGCACACTATTGTGATTTGTTTGTCATCCAAGTCATCTCMACTTTGRCACGCTTCTCCTGCAAACTTTGTCCTAGAGCTGCCATTGCAATTTATATCTGTAAAGCTCCTGTGCCAAATGATGGCTATGCCTTTTGGTGCCTGTAAAACTTATAGTTTTTGAAATATTGATGTTTAATAAATTATAATGGCAGTCAATGGAGCCTTGTATTGGTCCAATACTGCCCCCTGCTGCATCTACATAATATAGTACTGCACCATAGTTTAATAATATTTAAACTCAGTAGTTCAGTGATTACAATATTAATATGATTGTATTTTTATGTTTTATTGTAATACTGTCATAATATTGTCCTATTGTTGTAATATATTGCAGTTTAGTGTCAAAGATTGCATTGGCAATGTGGCCTCTTTCTGCACACATACAAACCAACATCTGGCAATCCCCTCTGCCACAGCTCCAATGGTCTCATGGTTAGTGCCATGGGCTTTCATGTGGGAGATCAGGGTTCAAAACCCAACTACAGCAACTTTAACTAAAAATCTCTACAAACTACATATTGTCACACAATTATCCTCATTACAAATATCTGCTGACCTGACAGGCACAAGCTGGTATAGAAAACACATTTGAACTTGGTCAAAGTTCATTCTGCAAGTCCAATGCTGCAGGCAAAGCCGTGCTGCAATGACATGCTACATGGCAATGCACACTTGTTTTTACATCGTAAAAACCCATGTCTAGTTTAAGTTAAGATCGTTTTTAACTGTATCGGCAAACAAAACAACACACAAATATCGGCCCAATTTATCGGCCAGTCGATGTATGGGTGGACCTCTAATTAAAATAAAAATGTTTTCACGTAAAAGTAAACAACCTAACTTGAACTCAGCTTTTACTCAACCCTCACCAGAACCCCAGCATGGAAAACCAATGAACTGAAGTCTCAGACAGCACAGTTAGAAACGTTCCACATCTTTATTAAACATATATAAATATATATTTCAGGTGTCATTCCCAAACTTTCCAATTACTCTCAGCTAAGACTACACACACACAAACTCACACTTTGCTTTAACAGAGTGGGTGTTTGGCACCAGGAAAAACTCTACCAGTCTGCCCAATCTGACAGCTTTCATTATTTATTAATGAGCTTTTTTACGAGCTGCAGAGGTGAGTATATTTACTGCAGCCTGCTGGCAGGAGTGTGGAGGAAGCTGATTTTCCAGTCCGAAGGGACAAAGGGCCCTCTCAGGCTGTCCAGGACTCCTGTCCAGACTGGACTTTATAGAATTTATGTCGAAAATGAGGCAACAGACGAGTCCACGCATACAGTATGTTTCAGAATACAATATTCTGTCTGTTCTAACGGTTGTTATTATATTGTAACAGATTTATTGGTTCAAACCTCATTCAGGTTTGTAAAAGTACTTGACTGTTAGAGAATCTGAGATTGCAATAATCCTCCAATTCAGATTTTGTTACGTGGGTTTATAACAACTAATATCTTACCAAACAATCTTTGTAACTTGTGGAGCAAAAATCAAAGTGGACTGCTGCCATCCTGAAATAACTTTAGTCTCAAAAGTTTWAGAGAAAATCCTTTTAGAAGCCATAAATCTGTGTAACAATGGAAAGGAAAACTGAAGGAAAGATGCTGTTTGAATGATTATTTGACTGTTAGCTTGACCAGGTTAAATATGAACGATTCCTCAGAACTAAGGTTGTTCACAGAGCTCTCTACAGGTGTAGGTGGTCTCTAATAGCTGGTGTCTCAAAATGAGGAAAAAAAACGTATTTTTTTCGCAGTTTTACTTAATTCCRAACAGTCCTGATGCATCTCAGTAATCCAGGTAAAAAATCAAGGAAAAAAAAAATTGTATAGGTCCTCTGGACAGGTTCTTCTTTAATGAAACGTTTCGTCTCTCCTCCAAGAGACTTCTTCAGTCTGAGAGTTTCAGGCAAAATTCAGGCTTTTATGTCCTGCCTCCAGGTGACTGATACTCACATCACATGRCYATCGTTCACACCTAATTAACACCTATTGTTAACAGGGGGTGGAGTGATACTGGCAATGGCAGCGCTGTAGCAGGGGGACAACTGAAAACGGAGGCCTCCACCTCTGTTTAATGACAGACGGGCTTTCTTCACAAAAATGGCTTCTTTTACTCCTCTCTCAAACCAACGTTCCTCTCTATCAAGAATGAGAACATCCTCATCTCTGAAAGAGTGACTGCTGGTCTGTAAATGAGTGAAAACTGCAGAGTTCTGGCCATTAGATGTAGCTCGTCTGTGTTGGGACATTCTTTTGAACAGTGGYTGCTTTGTTTCCCCGATGTATAACTGGTCGCAGTCCTCCTGGCACTTAACAGCATATACAACATTGCTCTGTTTGTGCCGGGGCACCGGATCTTTGGGGTGAACCAGCCTTTGCCGTAATGTGTTTTGGGRTTTGAAAGCCACTGGGACATCATGTTTAGAAAATAAACGTCTGTTTCTCCGAAACACCCGCAACATACGGAATAACCACTGGTTTGGGTCTGGGTTTGGGGTCTTCATTTGATTTTTTACCTGGATCACTGAGATGCATCAGGACGTCATTTCACAAAGGTTTTAGTGAGCAGKGTGCCAGGTGGAAATGGCAGTTTGGCACAATTTAGCCAAATGTACCCAAAACTGTGCCGAATGGGTTTTTTACTTTATAAAAGAGAATCTGGTTTACTAAAAGTGTTGATTTCTATTGTAGGACTCATTCTGCACATGACGTAACCTTTTCCTTTGACATTTACACTGTGCATCATCAAAATCTACTATCATACTCTTCACTCACGCGCCTACAGAAACATAACTCCGCCTCCACGTTTTACGCATGAGGACTGTTATTTATACTCTCAGTTACGCACAAACTTCACGTCACCAAACAAAGAGTAACACAGTGTCAAGATATATCCCTGGATTCGTGAGAGCTTCATCTTTTAAACGATATCAAAGGGAGGGGTATGGAACCAAAACTTGTACAGTAACAGATGTGGAGAACTTCCTGATACTGAAACGGTCCGCGACAGTTCAAATAACTTTCAAATATTAATATAGCTCTAAAATCATATTTATCCAAAAATTATTTGGCAACTCATTTTAAAAACATTAAAGACACCTTTTGTGATGGACAGAAAAAAATTGGGAAATACAAATTTTACACCTACTTTAGCAAACAACAATGAATGACACCATCTGCTGGCCCTGTACAGGGYMCKTAGGCCTTAAGGGGATTTTACAGTGAGGGCACCTTATCAATTCCTATAGACTTCAAAGTGCTTTACACTTCAMCCATTCACCCATTCACACTCTGATGTGTTCACATGTTCAAAGCTAACGCAAGAGCCAAAAGCCGTTTCCCAAAAGTTTAAAGCAACATTTTTAAAGTTCTTGTTTGAATGATCCAAAATAAAATCAAAGTGTATTAAAAGTTAAAAACTTCCAGCAGTTTTCAAAGCAAGTGCAGAATAATACGCATGCCGTACCTCACTCTCACTACATTCGCTGGGGTCGTCACCGTGAACGGACATCTGGTAGCGGGCGTAGAGCGCCACCGACTGCTGGTAGGACGCCGCAAACCGAGGGTCCTCAAAGTTCACCGGCACTAACCTCACCTTCAAGCACAAGGTGTGGAAGACAGCAGGCGCAATTTGTAAAGATTTACAACTAGAAAATAGATATTTTACATGTGAGCCATCATATCGAAATGAGGATTAAGTCAAATTTGGTCAAAATTACCTCATTACATTTTCAGATTCCTGCTTTAAAAGCTACATTTTATACCTGGAACATTCTGATATCATCAGTTTACCCAGAGATATGACTTTATTTGTCTTGTTGGTTACGATTATACAATAATATTTGGTCTGAATCCTAATTGTGTGCATGCCTCCAACATTCACACTATTGTTTTCATGTTTCTCTTTATTCTTTATTATTCCAGTTTCTTCTGTACRTTTTTTGGACCGCTTCTCCTTCCACAATTTTTGAGCTGCTGAAACCATTCTTATATCAAAATGTTCAGCTCATTCAGGACATTCTGGCTATGACTTTTGGTAACTTAACTTTTTATACTTTTTTAGCAATTTCAATTTTAAGCAGTTTTTTTCCCATTGACTTTGAATGGGTACGTTTTTTTGGACCGCTTCTCCTTCCACAATTTTTAAGCTACTGAAACCATTCATTTAACAAAATGTTCAGCTCCTTCAGGACATTCCAGCTATGATTTTTGGTATCTAAAAATTTTATWGTTTTTTAGCTATTTCAACTTTTACAATTTTGGTGATGATGATGTCCTCAATGACATCATCATCACATAAGTGACATCATCAGTGACACCATTAGTCACATCAGTGACATCATCAATTTGTTTCTTAGCTGTTCTTAAGCTAAAGTTATCAACAAGAGGCACTCACACTAGCATTTTCGCCTGAAATGCAAATTCTCTAGTTTTATTTAATTTTAATGAGGAATTTTTAATG